TTCCCCATTCAACAATATTGTTGATGAGGCAACCTAATGCAGTTGGATTGCAGTGGCGGCTCGTGACTTTCATGACAGAGGAGGCTGAATGATATGAGATTTATTGTGAAAAACAACTCTCTACGACTCACCCAAATCAATAGCTCCAATGACATTCTGTTTACCAGTTAACCTGAACTTAATACTTGATGAGATGAGATGTGTTCCTGTGATTTACAGTGTCTATCCAATCCGCGAGGCAAATTTTTCAAATCATTATATCCTAATCGCCCCAGTATCAACAAAATATCTTATTCCTTACCTCAGATCCCGTCAACCAGATATATTTTTTATAATTATCAGAATTGAACGAACGATTTTGTTCGTTACCTGTTACAATCACATTTTTTGGTAATACTGCATTTAGCATGCGCTTGGGTTTTTTTCGAAAATTTGTTTTGGTACTTACGTATTTTTGTCTGAAATACACGAATTTGACAATGATAATGTGAACAAATCACTATTTATCGAGATATTTCCAAAAAAAAGTTTTCCCCTTGTGTTGGATGCATTTACAGGTACTTGCTCTTCTTATTTTGTCATTGGACACTTCATATACTCATGATGTACTTCAATGACACATTTTCATGCAGAAAATTCAACAGAAAATATGATTTTTATGGCGAGTTTCTCATATTCAGTGAACAAGCATACCAGATGACGGCCATTTAATTAATAGTCAATCCAAATACGAGATGTCAAATGTCAACAACCATTATTTTAAATGATATTCTTCCTTCTTTTCACTAAATATGGATAAATCACAAGAAAATCATATTTCTAGTTGACTCAATAATAGAAAAAAATGTGTCTTACATTAAAATCCAATGACCAAGTCCAATGATAAAAAAAGAAGGGTAAATTGTTTTAAATTCAATCCAGACAGGGGGTTAAAAAGGTAAAATTTGTAATGTTATAGTGAAATATCTTAATGAATAATGGTTTGTTTGTTCACATTTTCATTATCAAATTCGTGTTTTTCAGACAAAAATACGTAAGTACCAAAAAAATTTTTCGAAAAAAAAACCATCGCATGCTGAATGCAGTTTTGCCGATTTTTAAATTCCGGTGTCGGACGTTTGTTTTTCACAATCAATTGATCTTCAAAAGACAAAGCACTGAATGGGTTCACCAAAAAGTATTCCACTAAGTCTCAATCGTTTAAAACACTCATTTTTCAGAAATTTAGAGCCCCTAACCATTAACCTAACATAAACAATGCACTCGCGCTGGATTGTCCGCAATTCGCGACGCGACACGACAAACACGTGCTATTCGGGCGTATTCGGGAATTTGCATTGCGCGCGTGGGTTTCGAATTGTGAAGGAGTCTAGCCTGCTATAGATGTTGCCAAGTTGAATATTTAACACGTGATTTGCAGACTTCAACGTGTGATGCGTGGGCAAGCACTGTTGCCAATTCAAAAATATTTACCTAAAAACAGGAAATAAAATCAAAATCCATGTATGTTGGTGTCCTTTTAATATAGATAGTATAGATAATATCAGTTTAAGGAGAATCTCTGAGGAGGCTCAGCCTCCGTTTCCTCCTCTGAGGAGCCGCCGCTGTTGGATTGTGAAAAAAATGAGCTTTCATTTGAGCCACATTTATTTTAAATAACTTATGAGGGTATATAAATTATGCTAACTTACCTGTTTTTACCTGACAACCCCATAGCTATGCATTGTGAAAGGTAGGCAACCTTTATTTTTCAACTCTCTCACGGTTTGTTTGTCAGGTGGCACTCGGATTTTATAAATAATAAATAACAAATCGGAAAGTCTACCAAAATAATGTAATTAAAAATATTATTATTCAACATCATCGGCACTTGATTTAGCTCGGCAATATATGTATTATGTGACATTTATTCTTTTTTACGCCGGCGGGAGTAGAAGTTAATAGAGAGTTGAAGTGTTGCCACGAACGTTAACGTTAACGTAGAAATTGACAGCTACGCATGCGCATTTTTCAATTCTTCACGTTCGCGTTGGTAGTGGGCTTACGGGTGTACGTTATCTCACGTACTTTCACGTATACCTTAAATATCAACGTACGTTAACCGAACCAAACTCGAAATATGCCGATGAGTCAAAACCATCAAATTCGGGATCCTTAAGGAGTTCTGCATCAGGGCAACCTTCCATTTTAACACGAATAAATGTTTTGATCTAAACAAACAACCAAAACTGACCAATACAAACCGATAACATAATTTGTTATAACGTTACGATGACAGTGACGACTTCAACACAATTTGAAGACAATACGTAAACGTTATTTTTCGTACTTTAACGTTTACGTGGAGGTCTACGTACAGTGATTACTTCAACTCTCTAGTTTCTCTGGTAACGCGCTTTCTTTTCGGAACACCCTTCTCTGACATTGAAATAAGAAAAAAAGTTCCTTTGGGTGTTGAATTTTGTTTTATTTGCAAAAAAAAAGATAAATACTTCAACAATAGTTACATTTGAATACCTCTAACAGTCATTACATTAGTTTCACTAGTGTCATTATGACACATTATTTAATTGTTATTTATCATTGTTTTTGCAAAGGTTACTTTGACGCTTTTTGAATAATTTGCCATTGCATTGTCGGCTTTTAGATGCATTTGTACTGGAATCATTGCTTCTAGCGACTTGGACAAGGTCTACCTTTCTCAAGTGTGAAAGGGAGAACAATTTTTTTCAGTGGAAAATGACATACAGTGTATAACAAAAAAGGTACGACCGATTCAATAGGGATGGCACCCTGTATGTAGCGCCCTCTATCAGTAATCACAAAACTAAGATCATATTTAGATAAACCATGATGAAAAACCCTGTATACACCACATTTTATCCATTTCTTGCGTCTCTAGCTAAAGATATTCAAAAAAACCCGAAAAGAAAATTGAAATTTAACGCCCTGTATCTTTTAACCGAAGGCCTGGCGGACCCGTGTTCATGGGATTTTTTTTTCTTATTTTAGTGTCCTCCATTGTGTGGCACTACGCAATGTACTTTTTTCTATGTCTCCCTGTATGTGTAGTTGGACATATCACATGATTTGCCCCAAAATGTCACTGCGTCATATGTCAATGTCATATTTTTATATTATAGAAACGAGGAGAGATCCCAAAAAATCAAGTAAAATGTAGACTATTTTGTTTGTGTTCAGAATCGATGTGGTATTATTCTTGAAGGAGAATTAGGATTATTTGATTTTAGGTCAATTGCTCATTTCCAAATTAACCAAATTGTTGAAATACCATAGTGTATTATGTGCTCACGACATAACTTCATTGCAGTTGAGCAAATATGAATTCAAATTTTTTAACACATAAAGAAAGACGTGAATTTTTGGAAATAATAAAAAACAGTCATTCATTGAAATGGACAAACAAGAATCTCAAATGGAGATTGTGAACGGGTTCTGCACAATTACTGCAACTTTTCCTAGTTTCTTGACTTCCTTTCTAGAGTAAAAATAACACTTCCTTCTAGTTGCATTTTTGGCGTTGGTAACGCTTGATCTGGTCTTTCTGCCCATGTGGATTCCTTCAGTTTCCATGTCAGGGGTCTTGGTAGAGACCATAATATGTGAATTTTTCACAAAATCAATTTGCTTCGTTGCCAGTTACTTGACATTTCTGTTCAATGACTGAAGGCTTGAAATAACTTTATGGAACTGTCTTTATGATTATGCCTATCTATCTTGAACAATTTCGAAGTGTTTGAAGTATGGTAATGATATTTTATCATGATCCCCATGCTTAAAATCGTGAATCGGGTATATTCGTTCAAAACTCCCTCTCAAGATCTCAACAAAATAAACTACACAACAATTATTTCGTCGCACCCCAAAATGTTGTCCCTGTTGAAATATGAATTACTTTTTTCTGCTTTGAACAATTTGAACTCACATTACACTGTTCGCTAGCCCAGTCCTTCAGCTAAAATCTCGTTCTTCTTTAAAACATGATGTTCTTCATATAAAATCGCGACAGGGTGTCACCTGAAACTGAAAAATTTCGGAATTATCAAAAGGATCCCAAATGAACAAAAACTTTTTTTTTTTAACTTCGACAGCAGAGGCATGGTGATCTCATTACCTAGAGCCATTTTTCAAATTGTCTGCTTATCTCTTTTATTTACAGAGTGGTCTTTGAACTTTCTGGTTTTGCAGTCATAACTTTTTTCCTTGTCAACCCGTTTTCAAAATCTCATTTTGAAGCTGAAACTTCAGATGAAGAGATATGAAGATAAGAATTAACTCAAGATGAACATTATACAGTGTCTCACTTCTAATGGAAACACCCCTGCATGTTTCGTTATTGTGGAGTTAGGATTCTGACTGCACAACCAAAAAGTTAATTTTTCGAGATCACTCTGTAAATGACAGAGATAATGAGACAATTCGTGAACTGTCCCAAGATAATGAGATCATCTACATGCCTCTGCTGTCAAAGTTGAAAAAAAAAATGTTTTTCTTCATATAGGAATTCAAAGAATTGCGAGATCATAGCTGAAGGACTGGGCTAGCAAAGAGTGTGATACGAATTCGAATCATTAAAAGCAGAAAAAAGTTATTCATATTTCAACAAAATTTTGGGATGCGACGAAATTGGTGTTGCTTGCGTAGTTTAATTCGAATTGTTTGTAGAATTTTATGAGAAATCAATTGGTAATTTCTGTATTGAGGTACCTATTTTCTTTTTTCCATTTGGGTAAATAACGCCGAAACCCAAAATCCTGTATTTTCAAAACCCTTGGTACCCACCTTCCTGATATTTTCGATGACTGAGAATGAAAAAGGAACATACTGTGAATCAATCTATTAATAGTTGAGTATCTGTGTATATCATGTTGAGCTTGAGCATGATCACAGCCGTCTTCAACTTGTTGAAGACGGCTGTGGCATGATGTTTTATTGTGTTCGTCTACACAAGTAACTACATTTTAAACTTTTCCCGAAAGGTCAGCGGCGAAGATGTCCCTCCACCTATGATGTCTTTTGAAGCGGCAGGCTTAAGGCCCCACTTATTAGAAAACGTAAAGAAGTCGGGGTATTTGAAACCGACACCGATCCAGAAGTATGCCGTCCCCATAATAATGGGCGGTAGAGATCTGATGGGTTGTGCCCAAACGGGTTCAGGAAAGACAGTAAGTATTGTTGGTAGTAATGACAGAAGTTTAATCGCATATCTCCAAATTTCGTTCAAACAATGTGGTTGTATAGGCTGTCCCATTTTGGATGTTTTTTGGAATTCCGACTGGATCCTACGTGAAAAATTTATAAGAACCCTTTCTTATTTTTCCTATGAGTTGAAAGATAGGAGATATAGGGGAGGTCCCAAAAAAGTGGCCAACGTTCGCTAAAAAAGCAAGTCTCTATCTTTGGAAATAAGTGAATATCCCGTAAGGACATTGAAATCCTGTACAGTTGGTTGGGCCTGCCAGGTTTCTGAATTGTTATTGAAGATGAAGACTTGCGGCTTCCACGTTCCTGTTCTACTTTTTGTGAAATTCAAAATATCCTTATCAGATTTTGGGTTTTACATAACTGTTTTAGTTTATAAGATACCGGCCAATTTTGAATATTTATACTTTTTGGGCACTTTCTATATCTACGAAGTTTCAGAACAATTTTACAACAACAATGTTTTGGAGATATGACTCAAACTTGAATGTTTTTCAATAGAACCCTGTATTTTTCATTTAGTTGAATTCGTTATTTGTTTCTCCCCAAAATGATGTATGTATGATACTATAATACTATTTAGGCTTTCAGAAATGCTACAAAAACCATTGTCGTTCTTAATGAAAAAGCTAGTTAGTAGGCCGGAAGTATAATATTGTCGGTTCATTGGAAAAAACAATTGAGAAAATGTGACAGTAACGGATACCGTAGAGACATCTACATGTAGACATGAACTAAGTTATTCATTTTTTATTCCTAACCAAAACATTTCTCATGTTGCTGTCAAGCATAGACTGTCAAGTTTGTAAAAAAAATTAGTTGAAACATTATCAATAAAGATATTTATCAATTCAAGTATGAAAATCTACCTACAGTCGAATGGAAGCAAGAAGTTGTTTACCCAATGCTGTATTAGCTAAGTAGCAATTGCGAATTGCTGAAACCTCGGCCAGTGCTGTGATAAAAAAACGACTGTTTGAACTTCTTGGTATGCTTTTTGCATGCAAGCCAAGCAGAACGGTAGGGGCTGCTTTTCTCCTTTATATTTTCGATTAGTTACTATATAATTCATGGAATTATTTGCAGTGAAAACATTTGTTCTCAGCGATGTAAGCATTATGAAAAGCATTACTACTTCAAAATTTTAGGTATACATTTTCAGTTGAAAAACGAAAAACTATGAGTTAATATAAACACATTGATGTGGAAGAATCACATTAGGAAACATTCAGAAGAAATGTACCAGAAGGATGATGATCATCAAGAAATATGTATGCGCTAAAATGTATTCAATACATTTCCTGCATTCAAGATAAAACACTTGAAACAGTTCAGTGTCATGAAATAAATGTGGGAACGTGAAGCATGGAATATGGATTTGCAAAGCACCAGGAATGAATCTTTGAACATGTACCACATATCTAGCGTAATTATTAATATCAATTGTAATAATGTTTTCATGTATGATGTTTCCAATTGACGATACTCACGAAATACCTCTTCTAAGTCAGTATGGCCAGGAGCATTATCCACCACCAGCACTACAGGCGTCTAGTACATATCTCCAGCAGTACGCAAGCAATTGCGAATGAATTCTTGGGCATCTTGCTTCCTGAAAGCACCTCTTTTTACTTCGTTGTGAATCAATCCCATATTACCTATGCAGTCGATGACATGGATATTTGTCCCACGGCAACCAGCTGAAATGTAACTGCAACGGCTTCCTCTTTAGAGCTTCCTTGTCTTCGAGAAATGAATGAATTGAAGTTGGTCTCATCTATGTATATAATTGGAATGTTATCTCCTTGATAAATCAAAAGCTGCTGTACATAATCACGTCGTCTTATTTTAATTTTCTTCGTAATTGGTTCTCTCGGGTTCTTTACGAATACCTTTCAGTGTATACAACAAAAAATCTAAATGTTCGTAAACACTCAGTTGAAACAATAATTCGATGGTATTCCTCGAATTTGTGTTTCAGTTCTTTCAATGTGAGCCTTGGAATTTTCACAATATACTGAACAATTATGTCATGATGCTCTTCAGTGATTTTGTTCCTCCTACTTCCTCCGCGTTGATTTTCTACTCCGTCTCGATTCTTCACCCATCGATAAGCCGTTGATTTTTTTCACGAGTGTATCCGCCAGTCCCCCCAATCACCATTATTATTGAAAACTGCACACGTTTTTTAATATTGTCTGCATCCTTTTTTTTCTATATAATGCATATCAACTTGATTAAATATCAGGGAACGATGGATAATCACTATTATTTAATCTCGATTTTGACATTCGAATTTTGCACTTGATGTTTCCCAATTTGAAGTTGTTTGGTCCCAAATTGAGAGAGTTTATTCTCATGTTGACTGTGTTGATTACCTTGATAGTGTTTATTCCTTATTTGAAACTGTTAATCCTAAATTTGAAAATGATTATTCCCAAATTGATTGTTTATTCTCTTTTTGAATTTGTTAACCAATTTGGATGTGTTTAATCCCAATTTGGAATTGATAAGTCTCAATTTGAACTTGAAAAGGTATAGTATGACAAATCAACTATCAGCGGTACTTTTATCGTCTCACAGAATTGTCAATCTCAGTGTCTTTTCGTCGGTTTTTAGCAGGGTTGGTGGTTCAGAGTAGGAGCACTAAACTGAAGTACAGCTTCGAAGGGCGAACTTCCAGAAAGACATTGCGGCCGACGTTCTATTACAATGACCAATTTTGTTATTTGGGAGGGGGGGGGGGTGATAAAAACCAGGAGTGGTATGATAGTGTACCGCCAACAATCGAAACTTTCTAGCACCAGGATATTAGTTTTTTTGCCTGGATATCCAAGGTCGCTCTACGCCGCAGCGAACACATTCTTCTCCTATATTTAATATATATTTGTTACTTTTTCATCAGTCAGTTCGGACATTGGCGGTACAAATCATACTCGCATTTCGTATCAGAACCCAGGTGTGTTTACAGACTCACTCACGAAAAGATACTTCCTAGTTATGAGAAAGTTTATTGATAGTATTGATACCACATACTCAATCTGTTGAAAATAATAGGGACCACTACTGGGAGTTGAATATACATTTACTAGAAACTCTTTGACTTAATCTTTTACCTACCACACAAATTTCCTAATTTTCGAAAGTCGAGTGTGTGTAATGTCAAAGAGTAATAATGTGTCAAAAATATATAATGTCAATAAAGAAAATTACTCCATCAAATCAACAGTATGAAGAAACAAACACATTTTCTTTGGAAGAGTACTATTTAATCAATACTCTTGAACGGTCATATTATATCATCAACAAAAATCTCAAATTTTATATTGATTGGGAATTCCCAAATTCATGGTCATCAGACTAGACAATATAACTTGTTGCACCTTGAAACTGCAAATTCTAAACTTGGACAAAAAAATTCACACATGAGGCGATATCGAAATTCAATAAATTACCAGATGATATCAAAAACAGCCCAAATATTGTACAATTCAAAAATGAAGTGTCACTGTTACTTTTCATAAAATGATGCTATTCCCATGAAATCGGCGGGACTCTGTTTATTATTTACATCCTCTCAAAGAGAAGAAATAACGAATTCAACGAAATAGAATACAGAGTGTTCAATTGAAAAATATGTATGTTTGTGTCGTATCTCTAAAACCATACTCCAAACAAATTTAGTAAACCACTAGACTATATGAGAGCACGTTCAAAAAGACAACACGATTGAATAAAAGAACATTGATTGGTACTCAATGACCAATCAGATAGGCTGATCAAATTGGTATGAAGAGTAAGTATACTAATTAATTTCACCATTGAATTCATTTTAGGCCGCTTTTCTCCTTCCCATGATCAATAAACTGCTCTCCAGTCAGGAGGGTCCTGTTGTTGATGGTAGCACAAGTCAACCCAGAGTCGTAATTGTGTCCCCTACACGTGAATTGGCCATCCAAATATATGAGCAAGCTAAGAAATTTGCTTACAATTCGATCGTGAAAACTGTTGTAGCTTACGGTGGGACGTCCGTCAGCTACCAGAAGAACCATGTTTTGGTAAGTTATTAGTTACTCGCAAGTTACTCACATAATATGAATCTTAATTCAACTGAAAGGGCATAGAGCTAGAGTTGATAATTTTTGTAAAAAAAAAAAAAAATTGATAGGTCTCTATGTTATGTGCAGAGAGCAACATTTGAAACTATACAGTTGAAAGAGAGGAGATTGAGAATGATACTAATTCAAATTGAATTCGTCTTTGATGATTTGTGATGGAATAACATGCTAAGAAATCAACAAGAACATAATAATATATTAAATGGATAAATGGTTGTGATTAGGTGTGTGGTCAGACTTCAAATAATAGATTTTCGAGTGACCCTGATAAGAAGAGTTCATACAATATGTTGGTTATGACTTACAGGCCCATTCAGAAAAATGTCGTTATTTCTAGAGTAGTTAGATAAGAACTACCATTTCAATATGTAACCACAATTCAAACATTCTTGATGAATAAATGCACTATGTAAACTATGTTGTGAAATATTCAAAAAATAAGGAAAACTATATATTTTCAAAATAGATAGTATGACTACTACTACTACTACTACTACTAAAGTAATGGGTGAAAATAGTGTATCTTGAAGAAGTAGGAGTGCAAGATATCCAGGTAGCAATTTGAAATATTTATATTCTTTTGTAACTCTTCTAAAAATTCAACAAGAATGCCGATCAACAATTCAAAAGAATACCAGTGGATGAGAGGATATGTTTATTGTTTTTGTGAATGCAATTAAAAAGATTTATCGTAATTTACTAACGACTCCTAACAATAACGTTATGAGATACTGAATAGGCCTGTTTTGACACCATGTTTCTTGAATTTTCTGCATTTTCTTACCATTGTTTTGGTCACATACTTCAATATCACCCTGTGTCATAAGTTACTGGACTGATATCGAATTTTTCAAATAGAACAACTCTAATGTTTATTGGTAACATATCTCACTTGATTTTTTGAATTACATAGAGTATCACCAACAAATAATAAAAAAAACCATTTATTGTCCAAACAGGTTTCACACCCTATTACAGGACACAGCAAACTTAGTACAAGAATGATAAATAATAAGTTACAATTGAATATAAATTTACATTTCAATTCTGAGGAGAGTATTTCTTAAACAATTTTTGAAACATCCTATTGATGTTGAAAATAGATCTTTTTGATTGCAGATGTTATTAAAATTCTTACAGATTCGGTATACGGGAGACTTGGCTATTATATTTGTTCTTGGTGTTGTTAGATAAAAACATGTTTCATTTCGTTTATTCAAGCGAGGCACATGGAAGTTGAGTTGTGACAATAGATCTGGGCAATCCACAAGATTATGTGTAAGCTTATAAATAAATATACATGAGTAATACTTTCTTCGGTATTCGAGAGATAGTAACGAAAATCTATTCAGCAGTGAAGCGTTGTCTATACCCTGTTCAGGGTATATCCCATCAATTTTGAATGAAACATATTTCATGAATAATCTCTGTACTGACTCTAGACTCTGACTATATGTTGACTATATAGGGGACCATATAAGGCAACCATACTCTAACCGCGATCGCAGTTGAAAAGATTTATATAACTTTCTTGATTCTGGAAGTCTACAATTCCTGAATATCATGCCTAACATTCTTTTAGCTGATGATATAATTTTAGTGATGTGTGACTTAACTGAAGTTTTGAGTCAAAATAGACACCAAGATCTTTCGTTAGATTGTGTTTTTCGAGACTGTTGCCGTTTATAGTGTAATTAAATGCAATGATATCGACCTTCAGTGAATATGTTGCTGAGTGACACTTTTTTATGTTGAGTGGTAATTTATTTTCAATGCACCAAGCAGCCACTTGATTGATTTCCTTTTGAAGCATTTGACAATCAGTAATTGAGTTGATGGATCTGAAAATTTTCACATCATCAGCGAAGAGATGTATCTTACTAGATATATTATGCGTAATATCATTAATATACAGAGAGAACATAATGGAGCCAAGTTACTGCCTTGGGGTGCTCCACTAGGCTATAAAAGAAGGTGATTTGTGTCCCATATATTCAACATATAGAGAGCGATTTGTTAGATAAGAGTGAAAAAAATTCAACAAATCATCATCGAAACCTGAAGTTTTCAGTTTAGATAAGAGTATTGATTGATTCATCTTGTCAAATGCCTTCGAGAAGTCCGTGTATATTGTATCGACTTGGGAATGTGCGTCGACGGCATTGCAAGCTATTTGGGCGAAACACATTAAATTTGTTATGGTCGATCTTTTTGTTATAAAACCATGTTGCGCTAGAGCTATTTTATTACCTAATTTGGGAAACAATCTATTGTATATACAGATTTCGAAGGCCTTTGCGAAGTTTGACAATAAGGTGATTGGCCTATAGTTTGTAATTTCATTAATTGAACCAGTTTTGAAAATAGGACAAATTTTAGAAGTTTTCCATTTATTTGGAAATGTAAATGACTCCAAAGCAATATTAAATATATGTAGAGGTTTGGCTAAAACATATGCACAGTTTTTCAGAAAAAAGCTTGGAATTTTTTCATATCCACTAGTGTGTTTTGCCTTCATGTTTTTCAATACCCTGATAACTAAATAATGACTTGTCACAAAATATTCTTTAGTCATGTTCCTGTCAGTATCTCCAAATCTATAAAATTTGTCATATATAATGTCATTATCAGAAGAAGACTGTAGGTACTTCACATGTACAGCGATTTAATAATTTTTTGTAAGATGTTGGGAGGGAGGGATGGAGCCAGCATCAATATCTTGATGTTGTCTAAATGAACAGTAGTACAAGTCATCTACGAAGTACCCAGATATGGCTATATTTCTGACCATATAGGAGGCATTTATTGTAGTATCATCTAAGCAGAATTTTTGCCATGAAATGGAAACTTTTAATCCTGATTGCATTGTGAGAAACTAATATTTTTTTTAGGCGGGATGTCATATTTTGGTCGCAACACCTGGAAGGTTATTAGATTTCGTTAAACGTGGTCACGTTTCTTTCGCCTCGTTGCAATATTTCGTCCTTGATGAGGCTGACAGAATGTTGGATATGGGTTTCCTACCAAATGTTGAACAGATGTTGGGTGATGCATCAATGACAGCAACGGTGAGATATATTGATGAAGATATTCACATATTACTTATTAAGGTTCACACAATGTGAATTTGTTGGTATATTTGTTGGAAATGGAAATGACCAATGGCTTTTTTTAGGGGGAGCGCCAAACCCTCATGTTTTCTGCCACTTTCCCAGAGCAAATTCAGCACCTGGCTGGCAAATTCTTGCACAACTACGTTTTCATATGTGTGGGAATAGTGGGAAGTGCTTCTACAGATGTAGAGCAAGTTGTGTTCCAAGTGAGCAAGTTTGATAAGAGAGAGAAGCTGATTTCTATGCTCAAAGAGGGTAAGAACTATTGTATTTACTAAAATATACATCATTTAGATTATCTAACCCATTGGTCTATACAAATACAAACTGAATGAGCAGGACCCTGTGCCATGAAAGAAAATCCTGAAACTTGACTTTAAGCACTACACATGCGTACTTTCGATTTGAGAATGTTTCAATTGGGAGCATTTGTTTAGTTATATTATAGATCATTATATGAACCGGACATTTCAAGCATAAAATTAATTTCAAAACCAGATTCTCTACATTTTCTGAAAGCCTCTTAGTTAGATTTCAAGAGAACCTCTATAAAATATTCATAGTTCAAGAATAATTACAACTGAAACTATTGAAAAATTAGGAAGTACCCTTCTTGATGGGAAAAATCCACACGTATCTGCACTTGGAAGTACATATTATTTTAAAATATATTTTTGAATTAACTCACATATTTGGTTGTTGATGTATTATGGTTTTTATTAGAAAACTGGTTTTCTAAGTTTTTGTTGATAAGAAAAAATTTATATAAATTGTCCTGATTTACAGGATGGTCATTATAGTATATAGGTATAGTAAGTTTTGACCCAACCTACCCCAATATTTTGGCGGAAACCACATTTGTAGCATAAATGCACACTATTCAGGTCTTTGAGTTAGCATTATTTTAATTACAAAATATCAGACGTCATTTTGATGAGGAGTGTTATACATTCGCTATAAAGTTATGAAGGAAAGTCAAAAACGTTATATCTACCACATATTTATCGAAAATAGCGAACAGCATATGAATTATTCGATATTGAAACTGCAATTTCAATTCCTATGAATTCAAACGCTACTGAGCTGTGATGTCAGTGTCTTCTTGCAATTTGATTGGTTTGAGTTTATGGCTGTTGAGAAGCACTCCGCTGTTGCCAGGTCTAAAATACTTGAATTGATTCTATGTTGAGATGGTGCAAGGAATGCCATGATCCGAAATTAGTATGTAGTAGGTGATTAGTTGATTGGTAATTCACTGCTGATCACATTCATTCCATTCTCAACTCTGAAGTATTCCATTAGTTTCAAGATTATCTAGGAGAAAATGTGATGTAGGCATCTAACAGTAGGATGCTTTTTATATACTTAGTTTGGTTTTAATTGTAATGTTGAAATTTCGACTAATTGTTATTATTAACAAATTAAACAGTGTTACTATACCTCAAGTACTCATTTCCAGAAAATGTGATTGCTTATCTGGCAACTATGTATACAGGAGAAAGAGATGAAGCAACTGGCACTAATACAATGTTGCCAAGCTAAAAATACCTTATTCCTCGCAAAACTTCACTGTTCTCATTTCTCAATATTATTGACAAGAAGACAATTCAATCCTGCTAAATTCTAATCATAGAGGTCTTGCTTTTGTTAACACATTACACACCACTGTTTCTGCAAATATTTCGATAAACAGAACTCTGATTCAAGGGCTATCCAGCAAAGTTTGGGAAATTTTGACATTCGTCAAGCTGCAGTGGCGGCGACTGGTGAGACTAAAAATGTTAGTCCTCATTCGTTATGTCAAATATCAACGTAGTAGGCGTGTACGCAAATCGCAATATTATGAGGTTAAATATCTATAATACTTCGTGATGATTTTAAATAACGAATGATTGCATCATATACCATTTATACTCCGAATGATCAATACAAAATAGGTATGTGGCGTAAATTCGACTAGTGTGTACTAGGGTCCCTTGAAGCAAACTGACGTATTTGTCATCTAACAGGGTACGGACAGATCATAGCTCCTTTCTCTTTTAATCATCTAGTGACTTTGAAGAGAGATCTTACAAAATTTCAATTTTCATACTTTATCTCAATACGACATTATCCAATTCTGTTTCGGAAGGATGGTAAAATGTGCTGCGTTAGGCTGTATCAATCAGTTGGATGACAAATTTGAATTTGTCAGCTTTCCATCAAATGCAAATGAACTTGGAACACGGAAAGTTGAGTGACCGAATGGGGAAAATTGGTAAATACATCAGCAAAATATTCGAGGTAAAACTAATACGGAATCACATTGTAACTATAATTATCCACTCCACAAGATTTTGAATGCATTTCAGTAGAAACAGTTTTCATTAAAGCAGAGGATTAGAAGAAAAATCATATGCCCTACCATTTAAAAAAGTTCCTATACCTACATTCAAGAAATATTAAGTGTTTGTGAAAAACTGCAAAAATGATTCCCAACATGAATATATACAGCACACATGACATAATTAGCACATTAGTTTGATTACCTACATGAAATTTTTCACCATTTCTCAACCATAAGGCTTAGTCTGAAATCAAAACTCATTTATTGATAGGTACTGCCTAAGAACAGTCCCATTTGGTAAAAAAAATTGAACTTTCAGAAAAATTTCCTCACTGCTTCACAAAGATTATGCTGGAGTTGAAAAATCAAAAACTCGAAAATTATCATCATCATTTGGATATATTATGTAGAATTAAATGAGAAATCACATGTTGAAATTACGTATGATACGCCAATGTCCTCAATATTACCTAAAAAACAACAAATGTCAGAAATCTAGTGTTTTTTCCCAGAAATGAATAAAGATGGAACTATACAGGGTGGCATTGAAATAAATGCAAATATTTCAAACACTGAAAAAGCTCGACGTGTACTATCGAATGGCACTAATGAAAAAAATTTAGGGATCAAAATAAAATTTGAGGTTAGACCCCTTTTTACCTAATGTTCTACACTGTAGCAAATCTGACGTCACCTCTGTTCAAATTTCCATACGGTAGGCACAATCACACGGAGTTCAAGCATTTAAATTGTTTCAAAGTGTATAACTGGCTCACAAACACTAAAGACTTAGAGGAGACGAGGATCTGTCCGTACCCTGCTGAGATGACAAATACGTCAATTTACATCAAGGGACCCTAGTGTGTACAAACCCATTCCTTATGACGTAACCGAGTAAAATGAACCAAAGTAAACTGTTGTTAGCGAGGTTTTCAACTCCTAATCCATTATGATTCATCTCCAGGCAACAAAGAACGAACGGTAGTGTTTGTGGAGACCAAACGAAACGCCGACTTCCTGGCCACGCTGCTCAGCGAGAACGACATCAAGACCACCAGCATCCACGGCGATCGGCTGCAAAGGGAGCGGGAGCAGGCGCTGTGGGACTTCAAGAAGGGCATCTGCAACATCCTCGTGGCCACGGGGGTGGCCGCCCGCGGTCTCGACATCGAGGGCATCCAGCACGTCATCAATTACGATTTGCCAAACAGCATCGACGAGTACGTTCACAGGATAGGTCGAACTGGGAGAGTAGGTAAGCGGCCAGGAAGGGAAGCGATCTTACTAAATATACTGTACGCTAGCACATACCACGCCCACCGTTATATCTCATCTTCAAAGTATGTACTTTACTTAGGCAAAACTCAGAGACTATTTATCCTCAACGAACTAACCTATCCCTGATTGCAATATTTTTGAGGAAGGAAAACCGAATGGAGTGTAGAAACACATTGATTAATAATATATTTCAAAAGTTGAGTTCTTCAACAAATAAAATGAGACTGTTTATCCTAAACGCACTAACCTATTTGACTTCAAATATTTTATGAAAAAGGAAAACCAGAATGAAGTAAAAAAACATTGGTGAAAAAAAAAGTTGCAAAAAAAAGTTCAAGTTCACAGCGATTCGCACCATGGACCTTCAGACTGAAAGTCGACAGCGCTAACTAGTAGACCATTTGGGTGTATGAATTTACTGCTTACAAGAGATTGACAACGAGAGAGCTTCAGTCGAATTCGTGTCAAAATCATACAAAGTGTATTCTTGCGTTGGAGCACAGTATATTTAGTGTGATGTGCTGACTCCGAGTATATCGATAATGTTTGGAGATATGACGTATTATGGTGGGCGTGGTTTGTGCTAGCATGCAGTATATTTAGTAAAATCGCGGAAGGGAATTAGATTTATTTTGAACAGTGCTGGCTTGAAGAAAATCATTGTACCTACTTTTATTGAGGCTGTGAATATGATGATTACAATACATGTCAGAATATATCAATACGATGAATATCTTATTGGTTAGGTAGGTACTGAAAGAAGAAAATTTTAACGTTTAAACCTACTTGAACAATGATTCAAAAATTGGTATGTTTCAACCATTACGTTTTACACTATCAAAGTGCCTATTCTATGATAATAATGCAAGTTTAATTAAAATGTGACTAACCTTTCATGATGAAAATAATCAGTCCTTTCTCAGGTCTTTCTTCTTTCTCTGTAAGCTCTCTACTGTGCTCAGGTACAGCTGTGGGACTGAATTTGATTTTACATACATCCCATTTACCTTAGAATATACCATACCTTCTTGAGTGTTACTATGCTCATTAAATTTGTGCAAAAAAAAACACTTCTGCCAGCTGTGATCACAAGCACTTCTGAACTTATCAGCTTTCAAACACACATGTACAGGGTGATTCACCATAAATGTCCTCCCCTCTAGCTCAGTTATTTTTGAACCGATTTCAAAATTTGAAATATCATCTTGAATGATTTTTGATAAAGTTTTTTTTTCCTACATCAGCAAATACAGGGTGCTGGGAACGAACGACCTACAGGGTACTATTTGATTTTTTTATATGGAACACCCTATTTTTCATTGTATTTTTAGATTCTCCCTGAAAAGCTGATTTGCTCAATGTATCACACTTGGGGTCTATCGGGAATGATTACAGAGATATAGGGTGTTCAAAATCGAGATTTTTCAACTTTAGGATTTTTTTGAGACGAAACTATTCAGTATCGGTCAAAACGGCCTTCATGTCCGTATCTTAAGTTTTGATTTACTATCTACTGACATTTAGAAATTGGAACAGATACAGAGTGATCAGAATTCTGAATCTTGAACCACCCTGTAAATATTCCAATTGAATGTCAGTAGACAGTAAATCAAAAGTTAAGATGGGGACATAGAAGCCGTTTCGACCAACAATGAATAGATTCGGCAGAAAAAAATCCTGAAGTTGAAAAATCTCGATTTTGAACACCCTATATCTCTGTAATCGTTTCCGCTAGACCCCAAATGTGATACATTGATGGGATCAGCTCTTCAGGAAGAATATAAAGAAACAATGAAACACAGGGTGTTCCATTTGGAAAAATCAAGTAATACTCTGTAGATCGTTTGTTCCGAGCACCCTGTATTTTCTGATGCAACGGAAGAAAAATTTCTGAAAAATCATTTTAGATTATTCTTCAGATTTTTAAATCGGTTCAAAAATAAGTGAGCTAGACGGGGGGGACATTTATGGTGAATCACCCTGTACAAAAACTAACAAAAATATTGCCTTCTGCAAAGATAATCACCAAATGAACGATGTAGAAAAACTGACATCCTTGTTGAAAAAGTATTATGAAAAATCAAAATTGAAACATTATGAAAAATCAAAATTGAAACCGTCTCTGCGAAAGGCGAATGACAATGAACAATGTCAGCTGAGGCATCAAAGTTACTTAATAGTAATCAAACAGTCCAAATACAAAATAGTAACATTTGTTTGCCTCCACAATGATAACATGTAGTTTCATGTCTACATTTATGTTGAACATGATTGAAATCATAACAATAATAACGTTGAATGAGCAGCGTCTGCAAATACTTTAAATTTTTTTCTACCATCTTCAAACTTGGTATGATTTAACAGCAATTCATCATCTTCACTTATAAACGCATTTCCGTCTCATCAGTTGTTGTAATTTTTTTTTTTTTTCATTTTATCCTCTAGTTTCAGCCTTTAATAAATATTCTAGGATTTAACTTTTTCTTCATTCCACTATTATATTGGTCATACAAATTCTTATTCTCATATTATAGTGAACAGGAAAAAAAAAACAGTGAAGAAAAAAAATAAAAAGGAAATTTATAGTCTGTCAGCTTTGATCATTCCTTTGCATATAAATATATTTGATTTCCATTCCTCCATTTTCAATTTCTCTTATTGAATTGATTACAATATTGAGATTTTTTTGATTTATTTCATCTTGTAAGTCCATTTTCGTATTCACAGGAGACTGAATATTTTTAGACTGAAGAACTAAATTTGTGGTACATACTTTGGAATTTTTATTTTTCACAATGTCTGAATAAAAGATGTTGAAGGTTGAGGCAAATTTAATGTAGCTTTCAATATTTCTAGCTGTTGATTCAATTCAACCAAGGTCATTTCCATGCTATTTGATTTAGAAGTTGTACCATAAGGGTGCATTTATTTGTAAGGTACCGGCATCAATCGAATCAGAAGGCTGTCTGTCGATCTAGCATGTACCAATCAGCGAGTAAACGATTTTATACAATTGATAAGAAAGGTAATAAATCCAAGATGAATCAGATTGTTGACTTGCCCAGAAAACAGGGAGAGGTGGCACAGGAAATATAATCACTTCCCTTTTATACTTTAACACTTGAATCGCAAGATTCCCGCGTAATGATATTGTTCATGAATGTCGCATGACAAATTCTATTTTTCTAATGTGTCGAAAAATCCATACACACAGCTCTGCTCGTATTGTCTTCTCCTTTCCACTTTTTGTAGGTTTTTTCGGTATCACCGATTTCATTTTGCTTATCCTCGACATAGGCGTAACGTAGGGGAAAGCAAAGGAATAGGATATGGGTGCAGTCAAATTGACAATAACGTAAAATGCAAACTTTTTGAATCATTGTAACTATTTTTCCACAATGAATTACACTCTTCTAATGTTCATATAACTTTGTCTTTTTCCTCTATGAGTTTTTCTTTGTCTTGGATAATTTGCCTCAATAACTCATTTTCTTCAAGCAGGTATTCAGAAGATATTGTATTTGGAGATGTTTTTTCATTATTTCCAAAAGTTGTAGGATTATATTGACTTATGATTTCGAATTCATTAATATAATTAACTTGGGTAAATTCATATGGTTCTTGACTCAAAATCTTGAAATTCTTTTGTGCTTCCTGGAATCTATTATCTTTAGGGTATTTGACGGATAGAAATATATACTTTCATCATCAGATTGACTTTCGAGATATATGGAACTGGAAAGGCTCATTGTCTGGTTCAGCGAGTGCCATGAGTGTCAAAATAGGTAGACTACTGACCTACAGTGTATGTGTATATCACTGACGATTATACCATTTGGTCATTGAGTGTATCTTCGGTAGCTCTTCTTCTTCTTCGAAGCTTTGGTGGGCGGGTGAACACCCCTGCACGTAGGCCTCCTTATTCGGGCCCATTGTGCGCCCACATGCTCCGATATTCAGCTGGGTATACCGACTTTCTTGGAGAAGTTCAGCAGCTTCCTCAGCTGAATCTCTTTCACGTCCTCTGGCCTCGAAATTATGTTGCCAAGGACAGCTCTCCTCTGATGTGTCAGTGCTGGGCACTCAGTGAGGACATGCGATGACGTTTCGTTATCTTCCAAGCACCATCATCTGCAAAGGGGATCATCGTTGATCCTAATAAGCTTTAGGTACCTATTGAGGTGGTTGTGCCACGTTATTAGCCTCCCTACCATTTTAAGGTCTTGCCTGTTGAGAGATAAAACCTCTTTTGTGAGCCTCATCGAAGGTTCCTTCACGTGGAACTTCGATTGTCTCATTCCTGGTGTGTCCTGCCATATTTTGAGGAATTACTTTTGCAGCTGTCTCTCTACGGAGGACATTGCCAGACTGTTTGATATTCCCAAGAATGGTTCCGGTCCGACCGGGGTCCGTCCTGAACCGATCTTGGCCAGTATGTCTGCCTCCTCATTTCCGGGTATCCCCGAGTTTCCCGGGACCCACATGAAGCTGACTTTTCTTGATCTTGCCAGGTTTTCCAAGGCCTCTCTTCACTCGGACACCAAATTGGTTGTGATCCTATTGGATTGCAAAGCCAGCTTTGCTATCCGAGCATATGGTGATTGGTCTTCGACCTCCCATAATCAGGTTTTGCGAGTACTCCAGCCTGGAACAAATGAACCGAGATTTCTTTATTCAAAAAGTCATAGCCAACAATACTGGATTGTATTCATCCATATTTATCAATAACTCAGTACATAGTTTCCAAGGCCGTCTGCACTCGGACACCAAATTGGTTGTGATCCTATTGAATTAGAAAGCCACTTCGGTAGCTCTTTCACTCCTGCAAATTTCAGAATTTTACCTCCATATTCTTTATACTTCGATGTTAATTTCGAAGAGTACCATTTTCTATTTGAAATTCTGATGCAAATTCAAGAGTAAGTATGCCATTTGGAAGAATTACTAAAATAATTCCTGATTGGCCACGAATAAAAAATTTCGCGTGTTGATTCAAAAACTAATCAAAGCTTTTTTTATTAATTTTCTGTTTCATTACGTTGCTTGACAAAAATTCGATCGATGACGTCACAGTGTCGCCATATTGATCTTGGGAGAATGTCTCCTGTGTCGCCATTTTGAGAACTAATTCCAATGAATATGAAAAGTGAATTTTTCACTTTATTGAATGGCGTAAAAATACCTACAGGGTCTAATTAAAATTCTCGACTAGGGTCTATTTCCGGTGAAACCAGAAGTGATTCAATTGTTTTTTCACGAAAAATATGGGATTCAAGAAACTATATCTTCGATCCAAATGCCAAAAGTGTAACGCATGGGTATGATTACGTTGTCACCGGGTTTACCTGAAACTACTTAGGATCATATACATATATTTCCTATCAATATCCTAATTTCCTTGGACCATAATCAGAAAATTGACATCAACTATGCAATTGCTTCCACTAGCATTTACCGTCATTATAAGAACAGGCAGAGAGCTGATGTAATGTTGACATTTGGAAGACAATGATGTATTATGACTTCTCATATTGAGACTAGCGTTCGTAGGACCAAAATGTAAACGAAAAGTCGCCGAATTGAGAGCAAAAATATTTTTTGATACAAGATTCTTATTATTCGCCTTGAAATCCTGAAATTTCAGTATCTTACTACTTGCACCCTGAATTATATTATATTAATTATGTTTCAGGTGAAAATTATTTATTCATGCTAAACTTTCAGGTAACAGAGGCAAAGCAACAAGTTTCTTTGATTCGGCCCATGATTCAAATTTGGCGCCAGAAATATCCAAAATCTTGAAGCAAGCCGGACAGGAAGTTCCCGAATGGCTTTCTAGCGGAGGATTCTCAGCAGGTGGTAGTGATTCCTTTGGTGGAAGAGATATTCGTGGGGTGAGTTAGTCAATTCAAACACATCTATATCTGGTTTGCCCTATACAGCAAGTATTATTAAATTTGTTCTAAAAAAAAAATTGTTCTGAAATTGCTCTATCCGTCATTCGGTTGCCCCCTTACGAGCAACCCTCAGAAGTCTTCGAGAGTCTTGTGCGAGCAAGGTATGACGGGGGCCTTACCATTTAACGTGTGATCCCAAACATTTTCTTGGGCCATCAGAAAAATGTCTGCAGTCGCGGGGAATTGAACCCACGACCGACAAGCGAATGCGGATTAGAAAACTGACACTCTGTCCGCACGGCTACCTGGCCCCTGTCATGTCACTATTTCCATTTCAGACTACATTACAATAGAGTCACTGGATGGTATTAGTTTGATAGGAGTTCAGACACAGCTGAATTTCTGTCCTTTTATATTTTCTATATTACAATGGTTTGGTTGAATGAAAGAATAACATATACTCTGCTCTTTGTCTTTTCAATTTCCCTAGTAGTGTCTGATTGTCAGATACCACCAGAGGTTATATTTCCTGTCAAATCAATCATAGCCGTAGATGAAAAATGAAAATAGGGTGTTTCACAGGTAAAAGGAAATATTTCAGTGGTATATAGGGGTCACCAAGGTGGTTCTGAAAATACCATATTTGATAGGTCTTAGAGTCTTCATAACGGTGATACAGGGCGATTTATCGATTTTGAATAACATTCGTCTATAAGTATTGAACTACCTGGTATATTTTCCTCAAGTTTGGTATGGATCTTCTTGGGACGTTGAATTTATTCACCTTCTCCTAATACCCAATTTATTTATATCTCTAATTCAGAGTGTTGTGTTGCTAAACATAGCTGAGTGTTTTGGTGTACACTGTGTCCGTAAAGTATGGAATTACTTCTATTTCTTATACTAAAAGCCTCTTCAAAAAATCTGTGACACGTCGATTGTTAATATCAATATATTCAACAAAAATATTTCATAATACAGGGTAATGTAACACTTTGTATTTTGTTAACTCCTCGGTTAACCCCAATTATTACACCTTTTTGGAATCAGCTCATTCATATTGATCTAAAAATGTCATAAAATATAGGATGATACATTTGGAAAAAAATTGTCGATGACGTCATTACCTTAATAAGTATCACCCTGTAAAATCAAATTTTGTGGTAAATGTAGAACATTAAAATCAAAACTCGACGTGTTTCAGATTTTTTTCGAAAGATTTTTATCGAATTTATAGAACACGTCTAATAACTGAGTGTTGCTGCAAATTGATGGATCCAGTGTAAATTGGTTTACATAGTGACAAATGATTCTGATTTTCCAATAATCCATATTTTGGTCAGTCTTGTGAGATGATTTTTTTCTTCCAGGGTGACTTCGGAAGGGCCCAAAACTTCGGGGCTCAACCGGCTGAACAAGAAGAGGAACAGTGGTAAAGACCGCAACTCATCAATGATCCGCTTAAGATTTATGATCTGCGTAAGATTCACAATCGGCTAGTGATGCAGGTTTTCCTTATTATTTAGTGATTTGATATTTTTTGTTTGTAGTGTTTTGACCAGTATGAGTTTTCTACCTGTATTCACAGACGAGTGTTGATGTTATTGTTTAAGTTTTTATAGAAGTTGACAGGTGTTATACCCGTTAGAGAAGTACCAGTTTTGTTTATTAAACTTGTTTTTGAATACGAATGCTAATTTTCAATATCTAAACCATATAACTGATCTGTGATACTATACCTAGTGAAACCAAGAAGTTATATGGATGTACTGAATATCATGTTCCGAGATATTAAATTTACTATTTTTTAATAATTGTTCGTTTCTTCTTTATGTTTTCACCTTCTCAGTAAATGATTGACTGACTATCATTGAAGGAGTTCATAGGTAGAGTCCGACCACGATAACTTTGGGACAGCACGTGGTCGCGTATGCATTGAATATGCATATGCGTTGCGTCACATGCTGTCCCAAAGTTAACGTGGTCGGACTCTATCATCAATGATATTAAATTGAACTGGTTGCATCAATGTGTTGAACAAAAGTATTTCACAGCTAAAACATAAGGACATATATTCCTCTCATTTTCAATATAATAAATAGAAACTCGAAATAGTAGTTTACGTAACAAGTCCAAAAATTACTTTCTTTGGTGAGTAGACATAATTCTAGGGCGTACCTACATTGAAAATTTCGTATGGACATTTTCAAACTCACTCGCTGCTGCTTTCGATAGTTTATTGCGATAATTGCAACCAAACTTTCGAAAATCAAAATGTCGACTAATCTCATGTCAAGTAGCTGTCAGCCGTCATTTCGCTATGTAATGATAAAGTCCATTTATGAAAATGATATCTACCAAGATTTTCATAGTTACTGGGTTAGAGCACCGAACATAAACAGAGACGTTTATGTTCGCTGGTTAGAGTGACGAAAACTATGATACTTCTCGGACTAGGCCGGGAAGTACGTACTTTCCGGACGGTTGCCAAATTTCAACATAGTATCTTGTACTTATACAGTCTGTCCAAGATAAGGTTGAACAGCATGGGGATCTCGAAAACGGTAGGAGATACGAAGTCGGTTAAATGGGGAAAAAGTTGCGCATTCGGAGGCTCGTATCAAGAGCCTTCGAAAATTTTTGAAATTATTCTTAGTTTTTTAGTTATATCGAAAAAAGTGAATTTATGGAATATCTGTTTCATTGTTTTTCTCCGTTATTATTAGAGATACAGAAAAACTACTTTTTCATAGCAACTTTTGATGACGTTTAACGTGGTGATACCAATTTTTCTATGCGACGTTTCGTATTCGTAGAACCATCATCAACTTTTGTTTTTTGAATACGGTCCTGATAATTTTTCCACAGATTCCGAAAGGTTTTTTCATTCTGAATTCAACCATGTAACCAAGGTGGTTTATGTGTGTTTCGACCTATTTTTAACCATCATCAATTTTTTTTCGACATTCCAAAGGAAAAATGCCATCAGTTCCACTTATTTTGAAGAAAAATTAGTCAACACACTAATACCTCATCAACTGGTTTCGGCTTTTATATGTGGGTTGCAATATTTGGTATTATTTACCATGAAACACAGACTTCCTAACGTTATACAAATTTGCTTGAGAATCATCTTGAGGAAGCTCTGGATGATTTACCGATTGCGGAAGTTCAGGACTGTTGGTTTCAACAAGATGGCGCTCCGGTACATAATTCCAGAAAAGTTCGTGCGTTTTTATCCAGAAAAATGGATTGGTACTCATTCTGCAGTCCCTTGGCCGGCGCGGTCACCTGATTTGACACAGCTGGATTTTTTTTTAGGGGATGTATCAAAAACTTTTTACACGCAAATAGCTTTAATGATGAAGAACTAAGGGACAGTGTCATCGGAGCATTCAATAGAATAACCCCAGAAATGCTTAGTAATGTCTTGGAAGCAACTGTGAGAAGAGGATATCTTTGTTCAGAAAAATAATTGGTTATCATTTTGAACATTTGTTATGAATGTTTCTGAAGGTATTGTCAAAGTTAAGTTGTTAAAGTAATTCGTGTAACAATTCATCAACAATTTTAAGCGCTGCATTGCATGATGTAGTGAAATATTTTTTATTCACTTTTCAGTATTGAATAACTAATCCATCAATGTTTGACACTAAATGATCAGAAATAAATGGAACTGATGGCACTTTTCCTTTGGAAGTTCGAAAAAACATTGATGAAGGATAGTCAAAGGTCGAAACACATTCGAATCACCTTGCATAATACATGGTTGAATTCAGAATAAAAAACCTTCCAGAATCTCTGAAAAAATTATCAGGACCGTATTTAAAAAACAAAAGTTGATGATGGTTCTACGGATACGAAACGTCGCATAAAAAAATCGGTATAACCACGTAAAACGTCATCAAAAGTTGCTATGAAAAAGTATTTTCAGTTTTTCTGTATCTCTAATAATAACGGAGAGAAAAAATAAAATTTCCAAAAATTCACTCTTTTTGCTATAACTAAAAAACTAAAAATAATTTTAAAAATTTTCGAAGGCTCTTGATATGAGCCTCCGAATACGCAACTTTTTCCCCATTTAACCGACTTCGTATCTCCTACCGTTTTAGAGATCCCCATGCTGTTCAACCTTATCTTGGACAGACTATACTGTGCCCAAGATATGGAGGGCCAGTATTAGACCGGCAGGTAGTGACAGATTTTAGGTCGTGATTTCACCCCGTATGCCTTTTGGATGGTATCATTTTATGTGTATATTTTGATGTTAAAAAATGATACATGAAGAAACCTCTGGGGTTAACTACGCATACCATCACTTATATTTCATTTTGAAACACAGGCAGCTTGACTGAAATCTGTACCCAACCATCAGCTGATTTTGATGTGCCTTGTATCTCACTCTTATATTATGGTCAATTATTAGTCTCTAGACACTATCTTGGAGTTTAATATCATTAGAGAAAACCCGATATAGTGTGTCCATGTAGGACAGGAATTTATGAAACTAGATGATCATAAATAATTTAATATTTATCAATAAAAAGTAAAAAAACACCTTACATGCAAAATCTTAATAGTCCTAATGCTTATAATAAACTTCCTGAAGTACTGGGTGCATTCGCCGTATTTGCAGGAAAATTGCCTTGGGTCCACATAATGAGGTTATGTTCTGGCATCTGTGATGCTTGAAAATGGTCGCTGAGTAACATCTGCGAGAAGTGAACATGCCTTTGATATGCTTCGTTTTCTCTCTGACTATCTCCACAGATTCTGTGAAGGTCTAAAATCAACATAAGATATTTTGATATTTTAATTAGATAACTACCGTGTACACCGCTGAAGTGGGAAGTGGGACAACTGAAATTTTACTATTAGGCTGACTGTCAGTTCATAATTTTCAAGTTTGTCTATCGATTTTGTTCTGTCAATTTTCGAATTTGGAATGCTCATTATATCCAATAATGCCATGGACAAATATTGATTAGACTGGAAGTGTTCTCAATTTATTCAAATTAAATGTCGAAATAGGTATCAATTTTCATTGATAGCAGCTCCAGTTTCGAAATTATTTTTGTTGCTGAAATGCGACAGAACCATTCATTCCATCCCTAACGATTGTGCGAAGAATTATCGACTTTATTGAACTGAATCACCCCCACATTCTTCGCGATAGAGAGGTGGTAATATCATTTTGCAAGTCCTCATTGGTCACAATGGACCACGTGATACATTCTCACTCACAGAAACCCTCCCCTTCGGATGCCAAGAAGAGAGAAAAACATACTTAATTGAATCTGCCAAAGAACTCGATGATGCCAGTTTATACATGATTTTTTTTAATAAAGAATATTATTAGCGGACGGGGATTCAAGGGGGAAGTTTGCTCCTGATGAATTTTCATCAAATTTGTTTTAGACTGATTGGCTTCATGTTAACGCAATCTAGGAAGCCCATTGAAATAATTGAAATATTTGATTATACAGGACATTTTTTGAGGATAATGTGACAAAAAATGTATTTGTTAATGGAACACCCTATATTTTTTCACATATTTTGATTTGTCCTTCTATTGTCTGTGAACCGGAATCTTATTTTTGCAATTTAATGTGCTTATATCACAAAAAAAAATCATTTCATAATTCGATAGAACTCACCCAAACTAGCTCACCACCGCAAACCGTTTCTTGCTGTGAGCTCCCTACGTTTTATAAAAAATTATTGAAATCCCCGATTTTTCGGACCTTTGAATACGAGGCGATGATGTGACGTCAAAACACTAATACTGAAACAAGACCATTCCAGACAGAGATGAATGATACATGATTTCTGACAGAGTACATAGTGAATTAGCGCGAGATCACAGTTGAAAGAATTAAAATATCAGTTGCCTCAGTCTCTTGTCAGGCGTTTGGTATTTTTTTTTAACTATGGCGAGATGAGGTTTCTACGTCATAAGAGGGTCCGTTTTCAGAAGGTACTATTATTTATGTCCAAAAATAAAACATTTCAGTTAATTTTTCGATCGAATTATGTCGTCAATCATTATTTATGTATAAAATGATGATTATAAAAATGGTTTAAGTTAAAAGTTCTACTAAGGTGTACACGCCCATTGCCGTATTGTCAAGCTATTAATTAATGTATCCAAAACCAGTTGTACGAAAGTGCTGATTTCAAATTATTGTCAGCTTATTTCGTTTCCGAAATGATCAAATTAGTATCCATTTTATAGGGTGAATTTTCAATCCTGAAAATTTTTATATTTTCGAAGGGTTATAACAAATGGAACTCCCTGTATATTTATCTTGTATCAAAAAGAATATGAAACTATTTTATAACTAAAAAATCATCATCTCAAAAACTGTTGAAAAATGATAAGTGTATTGTTACGTTATTCGGGTGCAGAAGCGAACACGACACTATTTATTTTCCAACTGATTTATTTAAACTAAAGAAACACTAATTTATATCGAACTTATAACTACTATTTATGTAAAAATGATTTATAACACGCGGTATATAACTGTCTCTCTGACACTCGCTGTTTGACTATTAATTGACGGCAGTTATTCGGCCGTTTATATATGAGATAACTAGACAGGCTTTGGTTCGAGAACCTTCTCGAATGATTTTCCGTCTCCTTCTTTTTGTTCTAGAAGCTTCTTAGAACAAACCTCTCTCTCTAATTGTTCCATCGATTGTTTCCAGAACATTCCAGAATCTTCTGTGACGTTATCTGTCACCGCGGCATATATTGAGTGTTCGGAAATATGCTAGTGCATGTAGGAATCATTGGGAGGTAGGAGAGCAATCTGGGATGCGTGATACAGGATGATCGTTGTACTCCTGCCTTCCTGCTGATGTTTCTAAAGCCCCTCCAAGGGGAATATCATTACACTGCCCCCTCCTTAAAACGCATTCCTCCTGGAATGCATTCTGATCACTATGAAGATAGGGACAACTGTTTTCATTTTTACAACGTGCAGTATGGTAGAAATAGCATGGCACTGTCTTTTCTCTTGGAGTTCCCTTGGAGTTCCAGCAGCATACCAGAATTTCAACTCCGGTGAATCTAAATAAAACCTCTAGCATGTTCCTTAAAATTCTCCAATTCAAGCCATCCAGTCCACACCCCAGCTTTGGAACAGCTATCTTCTGTATGTCCTTCTCGAGTATGATGCTTCGCAGGTCGACTAGCGTCTCCCAGAGGTCCTTGTAAGTGGGTTTCTCAGAAGATCTTCCTTTCGTTATAAGATAAAACAGAGACCTTTTTCCTTCAGCGCTGATATCTTCTATTTCTAGTACTTGACCGACGGAGGGACCTTGTTGATGAAGCTCCTCTAACTTCCCGAACTTCCTCATGAACTTGTTCGCTATTCCTTGAGACATCTGAAGATCCTCGGCGACGCAGTGAGCTAGTGCGTATTCTACAGGAATGGCAAAAAGGTCGCGGTGCTCTTCCTTGGTGACGCCAAACCTTGCTTTTGATGAACCACTGTATGTCCCAATGAATTCGTCGAATGTAAGCTCCTTTTCTTCCGGACAAATTTGTTGAACTTGTTGATCTTGTGTTCCCTCGAATGGTGCTAGTCTGTTGAAATGAACGACTCTTGGTTTGCCACTGGGTTCTTTACTGATGCGGTATATGACATCGTTGATCTTCTTCTTGACGGTATAAGGTCCTTCCCAAGATCTCTGTAGTTTTGGACAAATACCTCGTTTCCTTTGTGGATTGTACAACCACACCAAGTCTCCTTCTGCGTATCCTGCACCCCCAGCTCTGATGTCGTACCGGTCTTTCATGCGGTCGCTGGCAATTTTCAGATTAGTACGAACCAATTCATGAATATCGTTCATCTTTCTCATCAGATTCGTAACGTAATCTTCCCCTACTATGTCCTCACCAGGTCTACATCCGAAGACCAAGTCACATGGAAGCCTCATCTCTCGTCCAAATAAAACCTTCGCCGGAGTCTGCCCTGTAGATTCCTGTACCGCAGATCTGTAAGCCATCAAGAAGAAAGGAAGATGTTGATCCCAGTCTTGTTGGTGTTGATCTACGACTTTGCAGAGATACCTCCCTATGGTTCGGTTCATTCGCTCCACCATGCCATCTGACTGTGGATGCAATGGAGTTGTTCTTGTTTTCTTGATTCCTAACTTCTCGCTCATCTTCTTAAACACTTCACTCTCGAAGTTCCGGCCCTGATCAGAGTGAAGTTCCAATGGCACCCCAAAACGACTGATGAGTTGATTCATTAGGACATCGGCGACAGTTACGGCTTCCTGGTTAGGGATCGCATACGCTTCCACCCACTTGGTGAAGTAGTCCATGCAGACAAGGATGTATTTATTTCCATTATCAGTCACTGGAAACGGCCCCGCAATATCCATAGCAATCCTCTCGAAAGGGCTTCCAACATTGTACTGTCTCATGGGTGCCCTTGGTTTACGATGAGGCCCATTGCTGGCAAAGCACACGGTGCATTTACGGCACCACTCCCTGACGTCGTCACTGCAGTTCACCCAGTAGAACCGCTCTCGTACCCGCTGCAGTGTCTTCCTCACTCCTAGATGTCCCCCTGAAGATCCATCATGTACATATCCAAGTACTTCCGAAACTCGGCTCCTAGGAATGACCAACTGCATCCGATTATCCGACCCATCATCGCTCTCGAGATTCCTCTTGAGCAGGTCATCTTCTAATACCAAGGAGTCCCACTGACTCCAGTACGCCTTCAAAGTCTGTGAAGATGGTGCTACTTCTTGCCAAGAAGGACGGCGATTCGCTTTCTTCCATTCTCGAAGCTTCCGAAGTTCTGGGTCCTTTTCTTGCTCTTGCTTGATTGCTGCAGGTAACCAATCTTCATTGACAACGGTGGTTCTGTAAAGGGCTGCTTCCTTATCCTCCAATCGACTACAATGTGAGCACTCAGGTGGACATGGCCTTCTGGACAATGCATCTGCATTCTTATGGCTCGTCCCCACTCGGTGTGTTATCTCGAAGTCATATTCCTGGAGCCTCTCGATCCAACGAGCTACTTGGCCTTCGGGGTTCTTGAAATTCAGGAGCCATTTCAATGCAGCGTGGTCCGTCCTGAGATGGAATTTTCGCCCATAGAGGTACTTATAGAAGTGCTCCACCGATTTTACCATGGCCAATAGTTCCCTCCTGGTAACGCAGTAGTTTCGTTCTGCCTTCGATAGCACCTTGCTGAAGTAACCGATGACTCGCTCTTGCCCATCTTGATACTGCGAAAGGACTCCACCAATGCCGATATTACTGGCATCTGTGTCGAGAATGAATTGTCCCTGTGGAAGTGGATACCCAAGAATCGGTGTCGTGGTCAGGCGTTCTTTCAGAGCATCAAAGGCGGCCTGGCATTTTGAATCCCAGTGGAAGGGACGTGCTTCCTCGGTGAGACGAGTCAGGGGCTTTGCGATATCCGAAAACATTCGAACGTAACGTCGATAATAAGTGCAGAGCCCAATAAAGCTCCTGAGTTGATGCTTATCTCTTGGTACTGGCCATTGCTTCACTGCTCGTACCTTCTCAGGGTCGACTTCCACACCCTGCCTTCCTACGATGTGTCCTAAATAGTTAACTCGTTTCTGCAGCAGATGGCATTTCTTCAGATTGAGTGTGAGGTTTGCAGCCTGAAGTCTTTTGAAAACTTCCTCTAGGTTAGCCAGATGTTCTTCAAAAGTTTTACCGATCACGATGATGTCATCCAGATAAACCAGGCATGTCTTCCAGGAGAGTCCCCTCAACACATTCTC